ATGGTCTCGTACAGAGGACGTGGTCGTTGTCTCTCGGTGCCCGTCCCAACACAACATATCGCGAGAGAGAGAGAGAGAGAGAGACATGGTTATGTTGGGTCAGAGCCCGTGAGTCCGCTGCGCAAATTCCGAAATCTATTCAAAAACCTATGCGTTCATGGCCGAAATTTGCCCGTTATTTTCCAAAAGGTGGCGAAATTTGTGACAAACATGATAATTAGTAGTTCGGGAGAATTGATTGAAAAATGCGGTGAGGTTTCATTTTTTGGTCATTGCTGAAAGAAAAAATATAAAACGTGCAATAGACCTGCGGTGGAGATGGTCTAAAAACGAACCATAAACAACTTCTGTTGTCATTCCCATCTCTACTTTGGCCTTACCCCGACCTACGGAGGACTGCCACGAACAACAAAATGCCCAGAGGAAAGAAATTGACTCGCTCTCAGCAAGATCAAGCCCTAGCTTGGCACAATGAAGGCATTTCTAAATCTGAGATTGCCAGGCGCGTGGGTAAGTCCCGGAAAGCAATCCACACATTTTTACAAGACCCGCAGGCGTACAACAACAAACACGCCGGTGGCCGCCCGCCCAAGATATCTCCTGCCGACACTCATCGTCTTATAAGTGAGGCATCCAAGGGGGACAAAAGCGCGGGGACCTTGAAAAGAGAGCTTCAACTTTCTATTTCAGAGCGTCGTGTACAGGAGATACTATTGAGCAGCGGAGTACGACAGAACAAAAGGGCCAAAATCGCGAAGGACAGTGAATCCATGGTGTGTCATGGAGACATGATGCGGGACGGGGCAGGCGGCGTCGCTAGCGACACGGATCGAGCGACAGAGTTCTACGAGCAGGCGATCAAGGAGTTTGACGACGTCGGTGCGATGGTGGACTTCGGTTTTTTGCTCCAAGAAGGTGCCGAAGGAGTCGAGCGTAACGCCGTGCGAGCAGCAGAGCTGTATGAGCGCGCTATCGAGAAGGGTGAGGACGTCAGGGCGATGCACAACCTCGGTGTTTTGCTCCAAGAAGGTGCGGAAGGAGTAGAGCGTAACGCCGTGCGAGCAGCAGAGCTGTATGAGCGCGCTATCGAGAAGGGTGAGGACGTCGATGCCATGGTGAAGCTCGGTGTTTTGCTCAAAAAAGGTGGCGAAGGAGTAGAGCGTAACGCCGTGCGAGCAGCAGAGCTGTATGAGCGCGCTATCGTGAAGGGTGAGGACGTCAGTGCGATGTACAACCTCGGTGTTTTGCTCGAAGAAGGTGGCGAAGGAGTAGAGCGTAACGCCGTGCGAGCAGCAGAGCTGTATGAGCGCGCTATCGTGAAGGGTGCGGACGTCAGTGCGATGTACAACCTCGGTGTTTTGCTCGAAGAAGGTGGCGAAGGAGTAGAGCGTAACGCCGTGCGAGCAGCAGAGCTGTATGAGCGCGCTATCGAGAAGGGTGACCACGTCAAGGCGATGATTAACCTCGGTGCTTTGCTGAACCAAGGTGCGGAAGGAGTAGAGCGTAACGCCGTTCGAGCAGCAGAGCTGTATGAGCGCGCTATCGAGAAGGGTGACCACGTCAGAGCGATGTACAACCTCGGTTTTTTGCTCCACGAAGGTGCCGAAGGAGTAGAGCGTAACGCCGTGCGAGCAGCAGAGCTGTATGAGCGCGCTATCGAGAAGGGTGAGGACGTCGATGCCATGGTGAACCTCGGTGTTTTGCTCGCAGAAGGTAGCGAAGGAGTAGAGCGTAACGCCGTGCGAGCAGCAGAGCTGTATGAGCGCGCTATCGAGAAGGGTGACCACGTCAAGGCGATGATTAACCTCGGTGCTTTGCTCGAAGAAGGTGGCGAAGGAGTAGAGCGTAACGCCGTGCGAGCAGCAGAGCTGTATGAGCGCGCTATCGTGAAGGGTGAGGACGTCAGTGCGATGTACAACCTCGGTGTTTTGCTCGAAGAAGGTGGCGAAGGAGTAGAGCGTAACGCCGTGCGAGCAGCAGAGCTGTATGAGCGCGCTATCGTGAAGGGTGAGGACGTCAGTGCGATGTACAACCTCGGTGTTTTGCTCGAAGAAGGTGGCGAAGGAGTAGAGCGTAACGCCGTGCGAGCAGCAGAGCTGTATGAGCGCGCTATCGAGAAGGGTGACCACGTCAAGGCGATGATTAACCTCGGTGCTTTGCTGAACCAAGGTGCGGAAGGAGTAGAGCGTAACGCCGTTCGAGCAGCAGAGCTGTATGAGCGCGCTATCGAGAAGGGTGAGGACGTCGATGCCATGGTGGACGTCGATGCCATGGTGAACCTCGGTAATTTGCTGAAACAAGGTGCCGAAGGAGTGGAGCGTGACGCGGTGCGAGCCGTGGCATTGTATGATCGTGCAATGGCGAAAGGAAATTCCGGTAACGCGACTTGCAATCTTGCGATGACGTTGAGGGACGGAGCGGAAGGGGTGGAGCGCAATGCGGTGCGTGCGGTGGAGCTGTTTGAGATAGACATCAAGGAACGGAAGCAGAGCAAGTCAATGGTGTGTCTTGGAAACATGATGCGGGACGGGGCGGACGGGGTGGCCCGCGACACGGATCGGGCGATACAGTTGTACGGGATGGCGGTCGAGGAAGACAACAACGCGGAGGCGGTAGCCCAACTTGCGGCGTTGCAGCGGGACAGATCAGACGGCAGTACGCGGGACGAGGGTGAGTGAG